ATGCAGTGTATATTGCAAATAAAACAGGTGAGATTGAAGATTCTTGTGATACTTCTATTTTTATCTCAGTTTTATCTTGTTTTCTTCCATCAAAGAATAGTTGTATAATTCTTTTAGACATGAAACAATTGACTCATTTTATTAGAGAAAGTGACAGTTTTAACATCTTCAAAGTTTGAATCATCTTAGACTTTGACATATGATTAAATGCATCTTTTATATCAATAAAAACTGCAGTTGAGACCAGGCCTTCATACTTTGCTACTTGAACATCATGAATAACTGAGAGAACAGTATCAATTGCAGAACATTGTTTTCTATCTCTCATTTATTCATTAAATAGAAGAGAATCACTAATAGAGCTTATAAAAGATAATCTAGTAGCTATTATCTTTTCTAGAATTTTTTTCAAACAGTTCAGCAGAGATATTACTCTATATGACTTAGGAATTGAAGTCTTTCTATTAGGTTTTGCAAGGATTACTTCAGTAGCTTCTCTTCAGCATTCAGAATGATAATCATTTTTTAAGAGATTGAAAAAGAGCTCAAAATATTCATTCTTCAAGTAGAAATATATGTTTTGAATAATTGAGTGATTAATTGAATCAGGCCCTGCAGCAGTTTTAATTGAACTTGAGAATATTGCTGACTTTAGTTCATCATATGTAAGCTCAGGTCATTCCCAGTTATTTTCATCAATATATTCATGAAATGACATATTTTTCTCTTCTAAATGTGATGATGAGTTTTGAAAGAGAATTCTTATAAAAGCTTGACATTTTTCCTCAAAAGAATTTGCTGTATATAATTCATTCTGAAATTCATATTCTAAGATTGAAAGCTTTGCTACACTTCTTGTTTTAGTATAGTTGAAGGCTTTGAAAACTTCTTTTTCTTATGCTTCTTCAAGAAATTTGTTCCAGCAATCTGTTTTGGCTTTTTTAATATCTGAAAAATATTCATTTTAAATAGCTTTGAACTCTTCATCAGATATTAAGTGATTCTTTCAATCTCTCTTAGCAGTGGCTAATTGCTTTCTTTTAGAAGTGATATTCTCATTTCATCAAGGTTTGAAATACTCAGAAGACTTTTTCTTTGGAATAATTTCTCTAATACTTGTTAGAAGAATAGATGTAATCAGCTTTGCTCTATTCTCAAGCATTTCATTTGATATATCTTGACTTTGATTTCAATAGAGTGCATTCTGTCTTTCAGATTTCAGCTGTTTTACTCTTTCTTCAACTGCTTTTCAATCAGCTTTTTCAAAGTTATACTGATTAGAGAGAAGAGGATTTTCACTTCTTTGTTTTTCACTCAGTTCAATATCAAATTGAATGATCTCATGACTCAATTCTGAGGTTTCATTTGAATCAATAAATCAGTTTATAAGTCTTTTTTCAATTAGATTTTGTGACATGAAAGTTAGATCTATAATAGATTTCTGTTTCATGCCTTTTCTAAAGAATGTTTGTTAATCAGACTTGTTAACTAAATCTATTGAATGCTCAAAAGTTCATTTAATCACTTTATCTGCTTTTACTGCTCTTGTGCACTCTGAGTTCCATCAGGGATGATGTGCATTGAAGTCTTCTGCAATTATAGAGTTTTTTAAGAGAGTTATATTCAAAAATCCTCTATCAATTGTCCAGGTATTGTTGTTTTCTTTCAATGATTTTTCATTATAGATATTTATAAGTTGAATAGTATCAAACTCATTATCTTTATCTATAATGTCACTCACTAGAATGTCAGAGTCAGATATGATATCAAATCTCAGATTAAATTGATATCTTGATCTTTTTCTCCCATAGATTGCTACTCTTGATTTTATCTCAGATTTTTCAGGAAGAAAGCAGTAATAGCTTGGATGAGAAATAATGTACTTTTGCTCAGTATCAAAATTTGGTTCTTGAAGAAGTATAAAATCAACTTTTTATTCAAATGCAATCTGAAGACAAGAATAAATGCAATTTGAGTTTCTATTCACATTATTTTGAATAAATGTGATTTTTGAAGAGTTTTTAAACTTTTTTTGTTGTTTTTGTTGTATATTCATACTAAAAGAGAGTGAAGATATAGTAGAATCTAATCACTATCACTAGATAGTAGATTATAACTATTTTGAAAAGCAGGAATCTCAACTGCTTGCATTCTATCTAGTTTATTATCAGAGTCATTTCTCAATTCTCTAATCTTAACAGGTGTTTAAGAATTCAAATTCTGTTTACATTTAGCTGGAGAATTGAAGTTTGAAGACCTAGATAGTTGAGAGTTTCTTCTTTTTAAGCTTGCAGTTATGGATTTACTAGCTTGACTTTTCTCTTCAGTTTTAGATTCACTTTGAGCTTCATCTTTTCTCCAGTTCTTCTGAGTTCTTGAAGCAAATACACATTCTTTTGAGCTAGATGCATGTTTTTCTTTGCAATTGAAGCACTTAAGCAGAGTATGTTGATATATTTCATCTCTTTTTAAGCATGTTTCATATTTATGCTCACTAGTTTTATGATCTTGAGCACAGAATGTGCATTTTGAGTCTCTGAAACAAGAGATTGCAAAGTGTTCATATCTTTGACAGTTTGAACACTGTGTTTGAGCTTTGAGATTCATTCTTGAATCTTTGTATTCATGAACTCTTATTTTCAAACCTGCTACTCTTACTTCAGAGATTCTTGATTATTCAAGTATCTTTATATATACTAGAACAGAGGCATTTCTTCTGCTCTGTCTGAACTTAATTGAATTAAGTCATACAGGCTCTTTTCTCAGTTGAATAGAATTGTATTCTTCTAATTCATTTTTGAGAAGCAGCATTTCTTTCTCACAGTCAAAAATTTCAACTGAAATATCATGAAGAATGAATTTGTCTCACTTTTCATCTCTTTCAGATAGAATTGTTGTATTCAGTAGAGATTCTATTGCTGATTTTCAGAGATTCTCATTCTGAATGAGGAATTCTGCACTGAATTCAGGCATTGTAGTCAAAATAATAGAGTTTTTAAAGAAAGATGGCTCAATTGAAGCTATGACTGATTTTTGAACTTCAATATCAGTCATTAACTGAGAAAAGAACTGCTGATTAATTTCATTTCTAATTCTGAAAATGAGATTTGAGTTTAGCTTGTTTTTTTGCAAGCTCTCCTGGTTTGAGACTTTGAGAATAAGTCTTCTATTTCTGAAGATTTGAAAGTTCTTCTCTTTTTACATTTCTTTTTTTTTCTTTCTATGAACAGAGGTCTGAGAAATATTCTTCTCAGATTTCTTAGAATTTTGAGCAGATTTTGAACTAGCAGGTTTGAAGACAGCAGATTCTGCTACTTGAGTATATATTTTCTTCTGATTTGAAGAAGAAGATGAAGAAGTAGAAGATGAAAAAGAGTCAGTGACTGTACTGGAAGATTTCAATGTTTTTTGAATTGTGTTTGAAATTTCAAGTTGAACTTGATCACTTCTTGTAGTTGTCTAGTCTGAGTATGAAGAATTAACAGAACTTCTTCATTCTCCTCACTCAGACACTGTTTTTCAAGAATTTTGCTTGCTTTTTTCAGTTCCTGTATTTTGAGAACTTGTTATTTCTCTATTTCTTCCTTCTTTCTTCTCTTTAGAATTTCAATCTCAGGAATGACATCTGGGAAAACATCTTTTTTCACATCAACTGAGTGTACTCTTGAACTCATTTTACTCACTGAATGAAAAGTTGATCAGACTGTTTCAATTGAGAGATTTATCAGTATATTTTCAAATGAAAAGTTGATCAGACTGTTTCAATTGAGAGATTTATTAATCTATTTTCAAATGAAAAGTTGATCAGACTGTTTCAGTTGAGAGATTTATTAGTCTATTTTCAATTGAAAAGTTGGTCAGACTGTTTCAAAAGAAGAATGAAAGACTTTTATGTATAAAACATCTGATTTTTTTTTCACACTAGTTCAGTAACTAGATTAGATTTTTGAAGAGAATCTAATAAACTAAAAGTGATTTTTAAGATAAATCAATAAAATCTTTACAAACTCTTTCTTGGAATACAGTGAGGAAAAGTATGATATCAATTGATAATAAATCAGATGATATGACAGTTTTTGAGAGAAAAACTGACAAAAAATAAGTCAATTTTTTGCAGAGAAATTAATTAAAACTATTCAATTTTATTCTAAATCATTCAATTCTTCTCACATAACAAGTGTGCAACTCAAATCAGTCAATAAAGAGTGTAAAAGAGAATTAAGTATTAATGAAAGCTCTTCAGTCACTGAAAAAGTAATTCTTACTTAAAAGAATATGAAATTATGACAGAAAACAACTCTGTTTTTAATTCTTTGTAAGAATATTGTATAAAATTCAGAGAAAAACACCTTACTTTTTCAAGAGAAGTAAAAAACTATTTCTAAGATCTTTTTTTTTTTTGCATTAACTGCTGCAGAAGAATGAGATAGAAACTGCTAAGATATGCACTACTGTATACTCTCTATCAAGACTTTCCCTCTTCAGAGTCTTGATATTATAGAGAATATAAGTCTGTTTCTATATAATAATGTAAATATTGTCAGTGAGATGTAGAGAAACTGGTTATTTATATCTCAAAATAGAAGACTTTGTCAATGATTATATCAATATAGAGTTAATTCTCAAATTCAATAGAAATCTAGTGTTGCTGTTCTCAATCTCTTGCAGAATCTATTGAATATTGAGATATTAAAACTAGATTTAATATATCTCACTGTGCAGGAATCAAAGGCTCAGTCAGATCTTGAAGTATACTGATTTTATAGTTATTGATGTGCTGTTGACTTGTTGTTCACTGATTATGTATTGAATGCTGTTACTGAGGTATCTTTTTGTATTGTTCTGCTGGGGATGGGCCAGATTGAGAGGGGTAGTACAAGGGTGAGACTTGGTGTTGAAGTCTAGATACACAGGCGACGGACCGTGGAGATTGCACTTCAGAAGAGTCCGTTGATTATGTGCTTGATATTATCACCGAGGTATCTTTTTGTATTTTTCTGCCGGGGATGGGCCAGATTGGGAAGGGCGGTACGGGGGTGAGACTTGGTGTTGGTGTTTTGGAACATCAAAGATGGACAGGGTTTTCGCGGAGGTCGCTCCTCGGATATCTCCACAACTACAGGTCGGGGATCTTCCAAAATCGAGAAGATTGGTGCATATGGCTAGGTCACTTCACCTTACAATTTGTATGGCACTCTGGCCCGGGGTTGTGGTGTGGTAGGGGAGAACGGGGGATAATCCCACACAGGAGCTTTGAACAATGTCCGGTTCACGTTTGGCTGGATAACTCCACCACCACACAGGGTATGCGGTCGGCGATGGGGTCAGAATGCTCGTATGATCGAGGGCTTTTCGATGGATCTATCGGCGGGTTCTTATTCGAAAAATCGAGCGAGTTCGTGGTGGAGCGGTTGTATATCAGACTATTAAATAGAGAGAGAGATCTATTCTTTCAGGCTATAACATAGTTATATATAGCCTGCATTATCTTAGTAGCTGATTATGAAGTTCAAGTTTGATAAAATAATTAAGAAAATTTCACTGAACTCTTTCAAAGTCTGTAAAACAGAGCTTTGAGAAGAATTCTAAAAGTATTTAAATTATCTTCTATTTATGTAATTAAAATTGAAGCTTCAATTCTCTCTTCTACTATTAGAGTTAATAAGACCTGTATGAACTATGCTCTGAGAGTTATAAAGATGAGCTTAAATTATATAATCAGAGAAAGAGTCTCTTCTTCATTTTCATTAATTAACTCAGAAAATGAACTGAATGGAAATATATATCTTCATTGAAATAAAAATAATTCTTTAAAGAAAATACTCTCTCAACTATACAGACTATACTCACTGATTAAATATTAATTTTCTTCATTAAATGTTGAAAAAGTTAATCATGAGAAGATATCTCTCAGAAGAGAAAAGCTTAAATCTCTTATAAACTTGAAAATAAGTGAACTATCTAAAGAGAGAGAATATGAACAGTATTTAAAGAGAATCTCTATAATTAATATAAAAGACTCTATTCTGATTTATTTAAATAACTTAAAAAAATGAGAATTTGAATAGATTAGATACAGACATTGATTATACTGAAGATAATATTAATTTTATCTCAGATTTCTGAAATTTAGACTGTGAATCTGAAGTCTTTGATACTGAACTATTTATAATAGTGAAAGCTTTCAAACTTATTAAAATAAAATCTTATAAAAGAGAAAATAGTTTAAAAGAGATATAAATATTCTCTAATAGTCAAGCTGCTTTGAAAAGACTGAGAAATAGTCAGATTTATAATAATTAAATAAATCTTGAACTGATTTTAAACTCTGTTTTGAAAATTCAAAAGAGAAGAATATCAAAACTGATAATTTATCTACACTGAGTTCCTGCTTATATGAATATTTATGACAATGAATTGACTAATTCAGCTGTAAAAAAGAGTTCAGAATTAAGTAGATCTATTTAAAAAATAGTGTTCTGATCTTATATAAAGAGAAAGATAAAAGAATCTTATTTAAATAAGTGAAATGAAAGCTAGCAGAAATAAAAGAAGAGTATATATTACTCAAGATTTAAAATAAAATCCAAGTCAAAATCTTGTTCAATTAATTGTAAAAAGAAAATATTCTCATCTATAATTCAGCTAAAACTAGAATAGAATTATTTCAAATCTTATATACAAAGATTTGATGATAGATTTAATTCAATAGAATACTCATTCTGTAATATAACTAAAAATCCTGAGTATATTATAATACACTGTGTATTATATAATAGTCTCAGAGTCAGATTAAAAGAGAAGTATGATTTAAATTAATTAAATATAAGATTCTTATTCTCAACTGAGACAGGAATTAAATACTTAATAGACTTTCTATCAGAAACTCAAGCAGCTACAAGAAAATAACTAAATTCAGAAATATCTGAATATGAAGAGAGGGAAATTGATTAGATATAGTCTATTAAAACAGCTATATACTATTTTTTAATAATTTATTTTATTATAGTCTCTTTTTACTTTACTTTTTCTTTTCTATTCTTTTCTATCTATCTATTTAATGTGTTTATCTTCAAGACTATATTCTCTTTTCTTTTATCATGATATTATTAAATGATTTCAAAGTATCAGAAGATGTTAAAATACTGTAATTTATAAACAGTTTTTATATTCTGAGCTGGAATTTTCTGATTTTATATATCTGAAATTGATAAATGTATAATAGTTGACTTTATAAATATAGAAAAAACCCTGAGAACTAAAATTTCTCAGGTAGATGTCATAGTCTCTGACTATATACATCTATAATTGAAGAATAATAATAATAAAACTATCTAATCTTAAAACTGTGTAATGAGATTAATTAAATTAATAATAAGATTATCAAATATTCTGATTCTGATCTCAGACACAGTTACACAGTTAATTTATCTACTAGTTAGTCTACTTCTGACTCTAGTATTGACATAGCTTCTGACTCTAGCTCTTGATTCTGACATGACTTTAATAAGCAGTCTTAGTCAATTATCAAAGAATTGATTGAATATTCATATAGAATAGATCTTGAGCATTTAGTAAAATAAAGCTGATTTGATTATATGTGAAGAAGATTGAGATATGTTATATCTTTTTCAAAGAGCTTTTTCATGCCTCTTATTGAGAGCTTTCAATACCTGTCACGCTCCCGGCCGCGTCAAGGCCCCGTTGCGGTTCCACACGGCTCATTGCTTTCATGCGGATGATTTCATCCTGTTCAAACTGATTTTCAATCACTCTATGACATCATTCAAATATATTATAGAAAGATCTGATTGATGAATATAAGAACCTTACTTCTATACAAGGTCAGCAGATTACTCTTTCTTAATAGTGAGACACTGCTGAGGTATTACTCTAGCTATTCTTACTCATGAAATGAGAGAAAAGTATCTGCTCATTATCTATATAGAATAGCTAGATACTGACTTCTTATTAAAGAAGTCAGTGATTCATTTTTCTTTTACTGAAATATATATAAGAGTTACTATGTTTCTTGTACAATCTTCTTTGTATACTAAGTATTATATCTGTGATATTCTTGCAATAACTCTGTAGTCTATAAGCTCACTATTTAAGCAAGATAGTCAAGCTCACTTATATGGCTTCTTAAATAACTACTTTTATATAATACTGCTGACTAGTCATCACTTCAGTTCTGTTATATTACAATTCAAATCACTTAATCTGATTATAAGTTTGAATCAGTTAAGCTCTAATGAACTGATATAATCTTATATACTTATACTGAGACTGATCTGACTTCATTCTCTGAGAGAAACTTCACATCATTCTCTAGAGTATGTACATCTCTATCTCAGCAGAAATCTAAGATTTTTGAATCTGTTACATACTTTGATATGAGCTCTTCAATCACTCTGTCATTATCACAGCCTCTACACACCTACATCTATTATAAAGATAGAGAGATTAAGATCAGAGATTCTCTAAATTATAAGAGAAATATAGTATCTGAATTTCACAGCTTTATCTATACTCTTGAATAAAAATTTCATCTTAATCTGAGCTAGTTTAATACTCATGAGATATAAGTAATATACATTATCAATCTTCTTGAAGACATCTCTACAACTACTTAAGTTATTAAGAAGAGAGAGCTTGAGTATATCACTATTATTATAACTTAAGAAGAATTCAAAGACATTTTACTGAATTAAATTAAAGATTACTGTAATCACAGCTTTACAGCAGTATAGTAGTTTAACTCATTATATTAATAAGATAATAAGAATTCTTTTAATTTCAATATAAGATTTAAAGAATATTGAGAGAAATTGACTGATGATTTAAATTAATTAAAGATATAGCTTTATCTTATAAGACTGACTTACAAGATATGAATAATGATATTATAGTATCAGAGTTCATCAATCAATTGTACTAAGCTTGTTAACTTGACTTTTTAAATCTATTTAAATAATCAATACTCTAAGAAAAAGATTAATAAGATCTTTTCTAAAAATTAATGATAAGATCTAAATAGCACTGTGATAGCTTCAGTGTAGAGAAAGTAAAGAAGAATTTCAAGTATTCTAATTCTTCACTCACTGTAAAGAAATGTTAAAAAAGATTTAATAAAGATCTCTATTTTAACTGTGAAGCTGATAATTACTATACTAGTGATTATAAGAAGTTGAAGAAGAAAAGAAACTGAGAAGATATCTTCTCAAAGTTAACTTCTCTTCTGATAAATGTATTCATAAAAGATAAAGAAGAGAAAAAAATGAAGAATTAATAATTCTTATATCTCTGAGTTTATATTATAATCACAATAAATACTCTGAATAAGAAGATATTAGTAAGATGTCTACTTGACTCTGAGATAAATATTAACTTCATATTCTATTTCTTTTCTTTGATAAAGAGTTGAAAGAAAATAGATATGTCAGATTATATGAAATTTACTGATGAAATAAAATATCATTATTTTGACATAATTCAAGTGAAGTGTGTGATCACAGACTTAGAAGAAATCTTTAAGAAAAGCAGTCTGCTTCTTCATATTATTAACATTATAAATGAGAATGTCATTCTAAGTCTTCTGTAATTGAGAGAAAACAATTCTCTCATTAACTGAGTTATTCAGATATGACAGTATTATCTCACTGATAAGAAGACAGTGATAGAGAAATCTGAAGAGTTTTATTAAAAGAATCTTGAGAAAAATATAGAGTTGATATACTGTGTAGCAGGTAACTGAGACTTAAGAATAGATGAAGAAGTTATCACTCTCACTGTAAGATTGACAGTGATATCTGTTATTAAAGATAGATGTACATAATATCTCTTTACAGATTATAAGAATATCTTTTTAAAAAGAGAAGCAGTGAAGTTTTCTGATATTAAGATATGATATAAGATTTATCTTACAGATAATGTAACAGTACTGTATAAGCCTCTTTATAACTTGTCTATAAAGGAATTGAATGTTCTGTATAAATATCTTGAGAAAGTGTAATTAAAGAACTGAATACACTCATCAAAGAGTTCAGCAGAGATACTCATACTCTTTGTACTTAAGAAGAATGATAGACTACATCTATGTGTAGACTATAGAGATCTTAATAAGATGATAGTTAAGAATTACTATTTATTACTGTTAATTAATAAGATGATTGATTAATTATCTGAAGTAAAAGTGTTGTTGAAAATTGATATACAGAATGTCTATCATAGAATCAGAGTTAATGAAGATGATGTTTAAAAACCAGCTTTTTATACCAAGTATAGCAATTTTGAGTATCTTGTTTTATCTTTTGATCTTTGTAATGCTTCAGTCATCTTTCAGATCTATATAAATGAGATACTGTAAGATCTTGTCAATATCTCCTGCATAGTATACTTGAATGACATTTTAATCTTCTCAAAAACAGAAGAAGAACATGATACTCATATTTAAGAAGTGTTGAGT